TTAATAAAAACTATTACAGACAATTAACAGTAAACGTTATCTCCAAGGCTCTTTCTTTGGCTTGCGTTACCAAAAAGCCGATCTGTTTCTTACAGCTGCTAGGAGGCTTTAGTTTACAGTAGCATTCAAGTTTTTCCTGTTTTGAACAGGTTATGAAGGAAGAATGGAGTTTCCAGACCATAGCCGCCAGTTGCTGCAGTGTCTGAGTCAGCAGCGTCACCAGGGCTTCCTGTGTGACTGTACTGTTTTAGTTGGAGAAGCTCAATTCAGAGCTCACAGAGCCGTTCTTGCCTCTTGCAGTATGTACTTCCATCTTTTCTACAGGGACCAGTTAGACAAAAGGGATATTGTGCATCTGAACAGTGACATTGTCACAGCCCCTGCCTTCAGCCTGCTGCTCGAATTCATGTATGAGGGAAAGCTGGAATTCAACAGTCTCCCGGTGGAAGATGTGCTGGCTGCGGCTAGCTACCTTCACATGTATGACATTGTGAAAGTCTGCAAGGGCAAGTTGAAAGATAAAGAGTTATGTTCGGAAGAGAAGATTAATGATGAGGCGGCTAGTTTGGAGAAAGCGGAGCATTTTCTAGACGGCGGAGTGCCCCTGGTCCACGAGTTTGACCCAGGAAACAAACAAAAATTCAGCGTTGCAGAATACGAGAGAGCAGCAGGCAAAGAAAAGGTCAGCAGTCACCCCGCCTGGTCCTCTGATCATATAAGTGTCAGCTCTGTGCCGACAGAGGCAGAACCGTGCGCCGCAGCAGCTGGAAAAACAAAGGCTAATGTCAATAGTTCCACAGGACCTTTGTCCCAAAGGTCTGTTAACCATCCCCTGGCTTCGAGTGATGTGGACTGCGCGCTGGATTTGTCTTTCAAGCCTGTGCCGGGGAGAGATTCCTTACACCCCTCCTATGTCTTTGGACAGCTGGCTTCCGACAGCCAGCAGCAGGGTACCGAGCCACTTGTTAAAGATGAACAAGACTTGCTGTCAGATCAGGAGGACAGTGAAGCCAGGAGTCCGGAGAGTCAGCATTTTGGGAATTCAGCCAAAAGCCTAGTGACAGGGTTAGGACACATGTTCGCAGGGAATGGCAGCTCTCATGCCCGAGAGGAGGATATAGATCAAGAGCGAGACGAGAGCGAGGACGACATGGATTCGTCGGACATCTCCTCGGGCGTCCTTGTGCCTCCTGGGCATATCTGCATTTGTCCCCTCTGTAGCAAGGTGTTCCCGAGCCCACACATCCTTCAGCTGCACCTGAGCTCCCACTTCCGCGACAAGGACGGCTCCCGGACCCGCCTGTCCCCCGACGGGTCGGTCCCCACTTGTACCCTCTGTGGAAAGACTTTTTCTTGCATGTACACATTAAAGAGGCACGAGAGGACTCACTCGGGGGAGAAGCCCTACACCTGCGGCCAGTGTGGAAAGAGCTTCCAGTATTCCCACAACCTCAGCCGCCACGCAGTAGTGCACACCAGGGAGAAACCCCATGGATGCAAGTGGTGCGAGAGACGGTTCACGCAGTCTGGGGACTTGTACAGACATATCCGCAAATTTCATTGTGGCCTTGTGAAGTCCTTGGTTGTTTGAGACACGTGATTAGTGTTTTGGGTTTTTTTAATTATTTTTTATTTCCCCCCCCTCCGCCCTTTTAAAACAAAACAGGAAAAAAAAAGGCAGCATCTGAATTTTAAATTTTTTTTTCCCCCCTTCCTTTATTTTATTTTGGTGATATTCACTTCAGGTATATGATCTTTAAAAGATGCAGAGGTATACACTCCAGAGGCCTTTTAATGCAATCCTCCCACCTCTTCATCTCCCCCCTTCCCCTGCCACCCTCCCTTCCCAGCACTGTCCTTTTGGTCTTCTCTTGCGCACCCATGTTACATTATTAATGTGAAATGATGTAAGTAATTCTGCAATGATTTAGCATCTGTTTTCATGCTGAAAGTACTTGCTTCGTGGTCAGGGGTTTTTTTTCTTTCTTTTTTTTTTTTAAGTTTGGAAAAAGACTATCAGCAAATTCCGAAGAAAAATTTGGATTCCATTAAGCTCCCCTAATGCTCTCTGTGTGTTGCATAGAAGCATCTGAAGAGATGAACTATGATTTAAATACATTTCAGCGTAGAGAAACTTGTCTGCATATCGCAGAGTAAGCGGCCGTGCTCTTATTTTATAGAGCTACATGAGACCTTAAATTGGCTCGAATTATAAAGGGGGTTGAGAATTCCTGGCTACATCTTTGGTACTGGTAATTTTTTTTATTCTCTTTATTGTATTAGAATAGTTCTTCTAGTATTAGAATCGGTCCTATAATCTGAATGAGAAGTTTTAGCCTCGGGGCTTGACTTAAATTTTCCCTTCCCACCCTTCCTCCTCCCTGGACTGACCTACTGAAAAGCTGCTTTTGCGCATAAAACGTGGATGGAAAAACTCTTTTCTGTCTGCAGCGTATTCACTCCAGAATTGTTGAAGGATGCGCATTAGGACATACGAAAAAAATCATAACGATATGTGAATATTTTCATTCCCGTATCGACACCCAGGGGCTGATCCTGACCCTCTTGGGAGCGGGGAACAGTGGCCCTGAAGTGGCTAAATAACCCCTCTTGTTACCAGGCTCCTGGGGTGTCTTAGTTCAAGGTAACACATGCCCTGTGTGTTAGAAGATGCCCTGCTATCTTACCCGAAAAGTTGCTGCTATGCTAAAATCAGCAGCTCAGAATTCTACTTTATTTCACTTTTTGTGAAGTTGGTCGTTCCCTCTGGGCCAAATTTCATGCAGTCGCTCGTATTTCCAACGGGCGCTATGAAGCTAAACTGCTGGAGGGAAAATGTGGCCCAACTTTTTCCCCCACCCCACCAAACCACTTTCCACCTTTTCAGGGGAGGTTTTTGGGGTATTTTTAGGTGTTTTATTTTTAGTTTGTTTGTAAACTGAGGCTGCCTGTAACTGCAACTAGTTTTACTCGAAATAACTCAATTACTTGCCTAATAGAGCATCCTTTGATCTGTGCATGTGGGTAAATATCAGATTATTGCCTTCCAGTCAAATTATCCATTCAAGGTACATGTACATGGGACTGAAATATAATAATAATATTATCTGAGGGTTTTGAATGTTGTTCTGCTGCATTAGTGTTGCTTCACCAGCTTTCCTGACACTCCTGGAATTGTTTTGTGAAACTTAAACGTTTATTTTAAAATGAATTTGAAGCACTGAGTTAGAGTATTTTTTAAAGTTGTGCTTAAAATACTGTATTTCATCTTATGAAGAAAGAATTTCCCAATGCTTTCCCCTTCTGATCCAAAAAGTGAGCACTACCTACATTAATTAATATGGGATTGATTATTTTTTTAAATTATTTTATTTTAAAATAAGTACTTCCTCCTTTAAAGAAATTCAGGATATACTTGTTGCAACCTCCTCTTATTATTCATCTCTTAAACTATGAATGTACATGTAATGTGAAATTTTGCTTCTATTTATAGTTTGGGGTTTTGTTGTTTTCAGTCTAATTTCTCGACTGTAAAATATTTTTGCTGAACCTGTTACATATGAGAGTTGTGGGAGAGTACTGTATCTTGAACATAAGTGGCTTTGGTACTGTGGTCTTATTCTACTTAATCATTTTCTTTTTTTGTTTTGTTTTTTTTTTTTTTTCCTTTTTGCTGTGATTGGAAATAGCACTGAACAAAATCTACTAAAATTAAGTTATTTTTCTTTCTACTAAAATTAAGTTATTTTTTTCTCCTGAAGATACTTGATATAGTATTTATTAGATTTTTTTTTTGAAGTGGAATTATTACTGTTAATCTATTTCAAAACTAGTTAATTTACACTTCACTTTAAATTTTATAACAATGGGTTTTGCATGTTGAACAACATGTGAAGAGTTTAATGTAGAGTCAGCATTACTGAAGTTGGTAATCTTATTTTTGCATTCTTGTGACACTTTTTTTGCATTTCAGTCTTCAGTTACTGTTTTTTTTTTTTTAAGAGGATCATAAAATAACATGTGCCATAAGAACATCGTTAGCATATGGAGCAGGGAAAAGTTGAAGCAAGTTTTTGTCTGATCTTAGTATAGAAATAATTCATTAAACTGATGCTATGAGCATGCTCTGTACTGCAGTGAATATGGGGGAAAAGTTTTGTTGCATTTTTTTTTTTTTAAAAAAGAGGAAAAAAAAAAGATACTTTCTCATTCTTTACTACATCATGAACACACTGTTCTAATAGTCTGGTATTTGTGTTCCCAGTCCTCATAGCTTGAATTTCTAAAGTAAAAATATGTTTGCACTTATTTTCGTTCTTAAGGTGACTTTTTTTTGCTATCTCTGTGTGTGTCTCTTATTTTTAAGTTGCAATAGCTCGGAGCATGTTTTCAAAGTGGTTCATGACTCTACAGAGAAGTACTAAAAACGTTGCACACTTACGCTTGTCTGTTCATAAACTATTTCACTGTGGGGCGGTTACTGTCTCTGTAGGGGATAGTCCTGCTCCGCATTTTAAACACTGGATTTGTCTTCTACTACAAACAAATACTGTGAAGTTAATGTAAAAAAAAAAAAAAAATCATTGATATTTTTAATTGTTTTTAATCTTGGTGCAGTTCAGATTAAATATGTATATTTAAAGACACTAATTTTTGTGGGAGAGTTTTATAGTATACAGTATGTAGAAAAGCTATTGGAATGGAATATATTTTATAAAAACGTTCTATCACTGTTTTATAGTGAACTATTTTTTCTTCAGTGTTAGTGTAATACTGTTAGTCTAGATACGACAATCGCAGGAAGAGTGATTCAAGCTACTGTTAGCGCTTAGTTTTGCGTGGAGTTCTGTTTGCAACTGTATTGGTATGTGCTGTACAATGTGACAATCGTGACTAGGATTGTTGTCTTTATAAATTTACACAAAATAAAACGTGCTAGAGTTGTAAGCTTGAGCCGCCTCCTCCTCCTCCCTTTAGCGCAAGGGGGGTGGTGTTTGTTTTTTTTTATTATTATTAATGATTTAATTTAATTTTGCTATTAATATTTTGCAGGTGGCTGTGCAGCTCTTCTAAAAAATTGTTGTATACTCTAATATTTCTTTCTTTTTCAGGGCCATGTAAAATTTTAGGCATGTGAGCAGCTGCCATATCTCAGTCAGAGCGTGACCGAACATTGCCTTAGTCACTGGGCAGGACTAAAACCAGCACCACTCCTGCGTTTTACGCGGAGTATCAGGGAGGTGTGAACGGGCTCGACTCTCGCTCGATGCCCTGAGTGAGCTTTGGACCAGCCCTGCCCTGAGCAATGCTGCTTTACAGCTGCAGGCGGGTGCTGGGGACCGGGTGACGAGCCTGGGGATGCAGAAGGGATGCAGAGTGCCTGGACAGCCCAGCAAAGGGCTCTGGTGCCTGCCAGCATCCCAATGCCAGTACCCACCAGCATCCCAACACTGGCAGCTGACCGAAGCCACATCAGCCAATTTGAGTGAAGGGCTTCTCTTAAACGCTGAATCTTTCCCAAGCTTGGGAGAGCTGAGGCCTGACCCAACTCCTGT